GAGGGTAATAAGGTTTCATATATGGCGTAGGAAGGTAAAAATCTCATCCTAAAAATATTATGGTTCAATTTTCCTACTTCAACGAATACTTCCAATTTAGAACCTAGTATATTTGGGCTTAAGTCGGCCCAAATTTCTCCAATGGGCCACTAACGCGCCACAGGCCCTCAAGCCTTCTCCTATTTCTCCTCCTCAGGTTCTTCACCGTCCCTCTTTGTGCTCGTCAAGAAGCTCCTCCTTTGTTGTTTACTCAACAGGTAACTTTTCGAATTTGAGATGCTTCTTTTTTTTTTTTTTTTTTTTGTAAAGTTTTTATTCTACGGAAACATCAAATATATTTCCTTATTTTTCTATTGCTATTAATCAAATTCTGTGTATAATTTTTAAAAAATTTATGTTGCTTTCCCCCAAACTGAGCTTATGTGAGCTTTGTAAAAAAATAGCTGGTCCCAAGACCAGATAAAGGAGACGGGTGCAGTAGGTTGACAATCAGTGTTAAAATAGTTTAGTGCAATCTGAATAATGGATGCAGAGAATTCATTTAACCAACCTGACTAACTTGTGATTAGAACTAGCTGAATGATTGATGTGGGTCTTGTGGCAGTGGGATTGTTGGGATCGAAATAACATGGTGCATGCGGAAACTAACGATACACAACTTGGTGGACGATAAATCAGACGACAAAAAGAAAAATATACTAAACTAAGCATAATAGTCTATAATGATTTGGTCAATTGACCTACATATGATAAAACTAATATAAAAGAAGAAAAACTATTCGAGAGAAAAATCTCCCTCTAAACAAAACTCTTTAATGACTACATTGTGGATATTTTTTTTGTGCTCTTGTGAGAAGCAGCGATCCTTAATTTATAGATGTGCAAAACTTGTCTTCCAAGAAAAGGATAAGACATATTAAGGAGATTTAATCCTTTTAGGAGTCTTTTTCCATTATTTCAAGAAAGAGAGTCCTAATAGATTAGAAATTCAGCGCAAATCCTAACAATCTCCCCTTGGCTTAATTTTCTTGACAAAGTTGATTCACCTTCTTCACATAATCTTCATCACTGCTGCTTGCCATGATTAAAAATCGGTATAGGTTGAAAATCTTGGTATTGGTTAAAAGAAGCCCAAGTATGGGTTAAAAGGAGCCCACGTGTTAAAAATAAACATGGGGTAAAAGAAGCTCATGTTAAAAAGAAGCGTGAGTTAAAACTGGCATTGGAACTCATGCATTGCAAGTAGGCATGACTTAAAACTGGCATTGGTTAAAAGTGGCCAAAATATGGGTTAAAAAGAGAGATGCAGCCGCAGGCATTTTGAATACAATTGTGATTGTAAATTTATCTCCACATGTAGCATGTTGAATAAATATTCATTATCGTCTTGATCTAAACACGCATTGAATCTGTCTTCAACCTCGTTCAACCGTTGACTCTGAACCATTGGCTCTGATACCACTTGTTGGGATCGAAATAACATGGTGCATGCGGAAACTAACGATACAAAGCTTGGTGGACGATAAATCAGATGACAAAAGAATAATATACTAAACTAAGCATAATAGTCTATAATGATTTGGTCAATTGACCTACATATGATAAAACTAATATAAAAGAAGAAAAACTATCGAGAGAAAAATCTCCCTCTAAACAAAACTCTTTAATGACTACATTGTGGATATTTTTTTTTTGTGCTCTTGTGAGAAGCAGCGATCTTTAATTTGTAGATGTGCAAAACTTGTCTTCCAAGAAAAGGATAAGACGTATTAAGGAGATTTAATCCTTTTAGGAGTCTTTTTCCATTCTTTCAAGAAAGAGAGTCCTAATAAATTAGAAATTCAGGGCAAATCCTAACAGTGGAGCAGTAGTGCGGCGGTGTAGGTTGTTAGTGGAGTCGGAAAGCTGGGGAATAAATTAGGTTTTGAACCGGTTTGGCTGTTCAGTTACTGTATCAACGTCTAGGCAGTGAAAATTGAACCAGCATTCAACTGAAGTGTTAAAATTAGAGTTAGCCCAGTGAGTTTGTAGTGGTGAGGTTTTTCGGCTAGATGAGACAGGTGTGGTTGTTTTAAAGAAACTTATTTCGAGGTCAATGACCTGAAAATATTAGCTAGCCCATCTTGGTTCGCTCCATTTTCTTTTCCTTGCTGTGTTTTTAGAAAATTCAGTTAAATGATTAAAATATTTGTATTCTAACCTCATTCATTTAGTTCTTTTTGTTGCTGGTTCATATTTTTTTAAAATCCATTAGCAGCTGTTTATCGTAAATTTGATAAACTTTGTTTCAGAGAGTATAGTTTGTTCATTTCTGAAGAAAAAATGAAAGAGGAAGAAGTAAATAGGTGCCAGATCCAGGTGTGGTACCCCAGATTTAAATCTGATTCCATAAAGACAATGATACATGAGCTGCCCGAATCCTTTGTAGAGTACCTTACAGATGATCACGGTCCATTCATTCTCCCCCTTTCCATTGATGATAGTGATGCTCTACCTAACAGAATCCATAAACCTGAAGAAGAGGAGGATTTTGAAGTATCTGAAGGGTCGGAAGATGAATCAGATCGACCGTCGCCACCTCCTTCTTTCCCAGAGCTCGAAAAGGAGATCAAGGAATCCATAAAGGCCCTTGGGGGTTCTGTCTTCGCTAAGCTTAATTGGAGCGCACCAAAAGATGCCGCATGGATCAGTTCAACTGGGAATCTGTGCTGCAACTCTTTCAGTGAGGTTGCACTTTTACTACGGGCATCAGACTCTCTTATCCATGATCTATGTCATGCATATGATTCCTGCAGTGATAAGACTATCTCAAGACCCCCGAAGTTTTTCCTTGCACTTCGCAAATGGTACTCGTCCCTGCGCCCCGAGATGGAATTCCGCTGCTTTGTATGCAATGGGATCCTCGTGGGAGTCTCTCAGCGTGAGGTGACTGGATTTTATCCTGCCCTTCTTGAAAAGAAGGATGAGTTGATAGCAATAATCGAGAGATTTTTTCTATATAAAGTGAAGGGAAATTTTGAGTCAGTAAGTTACACATTTGATATATATGTTACGAATGATGAACGAGTTAAGCTTTTGGATTTCAATCCTTGGGGTGCATTTACCTTGCCTCTGCTTTTCTCCTGGGAGGAATTGGAGGATAAATTGAAGGAAGAGGGGAACTGCTTGGAGTTTAGAATTGTAGAGAGCCAATGCGGGGTACGTCCTGGTTTGAAAACCGCTGTTCCATATGATTACCTGGATACTAGTCCAGGTAGTGGTTGGGATGAGTTTCTTAGAAAGGCTGATGAGGAATTGGAACAACAGATCAGGTCTCCTCAAGCAGGTGCTTGATCGTTAGATCTTCAAGGACGGGTATCATGTTTGAGTAATTAGCCAATAATATACTTGTTTGTTATAATAGTTCTTGGTGTTTATGCAAACCAGATTGATGATCTTATTTAGTCAATTCTTTTAAGAAGATGATCTTTTTTCTATATTTTAGTAAAATATAGTGTAGAACTTCGTCGAAATGTATCTTGATTCAAGATAGCATATAATAGTTGCTAAGTTGTGACTTTTCTGAATTAGAGTTCACTATCTGTGCTCCTAGCTGTTAAGCTCTTGTTCTTTTACCTATCAACCTCATTTGGTACTATAGTTGAATGCAATATAGTGACAAATATCTGTCAATTCCTCTATAATTCAGTTTCAGATGTTATGCCAGATGTAGATATTTTTATTTTACAGTGGGACTGTCTGCATAATGTAGATGCCTCTTTACAGGAGAGAACCGTAATGTCTATGGACCAGGATTCTGTCTTCTAGGGAATTTTTTTTTTTTTTTTTTTTCAAAAAAAAAAAGGCAGCCCGGTGCACTAAGCTCTCGCTATGCGCTGGGTCCGGCGAAGGGCCGGATCATCAGGGTCTATTGTACGCAGCCTTACCCTGCATCTTTGCAAGAGGCTGTTTCTACGGCTCGAACACGCGGCCTCCTGGGCAGCAACTTTTCAACTTTACAAGTTACGCCAAGGCTCCCCTTCATTCTAGGGTTCTACTCAAAATGTTATGTGCATTGGGAGTAATAATATCATCAGGAAAGGGGTCAGAATGGGAACTTTGGCACATTAAGGCCACGATTCTCTCTCTTTCTTTCTCTTTTCCCTTCTTTTTTGGATATGGTAAACCCCGACTGGCCAAAACTCTTCTACCCAAGAGTGCAACAGTGGTTCTTTTCCTACATGTATCCCTTGTAACTCAAAGCTCTTAACATTATTGTTGGAGGAAAAGTTCCTTACCCCTTGACTAAGGCCACAACTTTCGTCAGAGTCTTTTTATCTTTTCGACTATACTTTGTAGGACTCCATTTTTTTAATGCAATATCCAAATTTATGTAAGGTAAGTTAGGCGTGCAAAAAGAATGCTGTTGAAAGCTAAAGCTTGAATATTGGCTCTTGCAAATTCTAGAACATCTAATGCCTTTGTGCCCTTTTCCATTTCCTTTGGCATGTCAACGCTTGGGCAAATGTTGTATGAAAGCCACAAATGGGTTGTTCTCGCTGTCCTCGACATGCCCTATGTATATAGGTGAAAATTGCCCTCGACTTGGACTGTATCGAGCTGAAAGAAAGACTAAGTTGGTGCCCATTGTCACAAAATAGTTGCTGATGCAGTAGTTTTCCTTCATCCACGGCTTAATTTGCTTCTTCTCCGTTTCAATTATCCGCTTGCTAAAGGGTTTTGATGAACGTTATAGGCTCTCATGAGTGGGATAATACTGGGTATGTTGTTGTTGCATGGGCTCTCATGAGGTAGGCATAGCTAGAGAAGATGCAGGGCAGCAGGGACATCATTTGCTCAAACCCAACTAGGCCAGTAGGAAATTCGCAACTAATATGTTTATTGCAATGAACATCTTGAAAATTTCATGAACTTTATACATTGGTCTTACCCCGTAAAAGAATAAAGAGTTAAAAAGAAACCAGGGTACAGAAGAAGAAGAAGGAAAAGGACAACACAGAAAGAAATAAATGGTCGGTATTTTATTGCCTAGTAGACAAACACAGGCGTTGAGTTTCTTATTGCACCGTGAGAGGAATTTTTTAACTGGTGGCAAACAACTCTTTTTTTTAGATGCACCCAAAACATATGCAAGGGCAGTCGTTGAAATTTCTATAAGAAGCCTCTCAGAAATTGGAGAAAGTAATTTCATTTGCAAGTCACCAAAAAGTAGGTCACTCATAATAGTAAATACATGGCTGCGATCTCAAAAGCCTTTTGTTAACACTATTCTGCAAGTATTATCTTGTTGACACTTCATGCAACCCTTGGTACCGGAATGCCTTCTGAAGGTGGCAAGGTGACTGAGCGCAACAGCTCCAATGAGAATACTAGACCTAGAAAGTGTGAAACGATAGTATTTGCTGATGCCTGTAAAGAAAACATGTGAGACAGCAGAAATAAGCAATTACTATGCCAGAGATTGATAACAAGTGAACCAGCTCGAGGGCCAACTATGTATGATAAGTTGATCTCTTGAACTCATTGAACATGTCGCAAAATGCATGCATGACATTAGACTACAGATGCTGGAAGATCAAGAGACAAAAAGTGGCCAAAACATGGTTGTCTGACCTCGTGCAGGAATTCCATACCTATTATCAATAGTCCTAATCGTGATAAAATAAGGTACCTTGTTTTTCCATAGTAGACATCAAAATGATTGGATATAGGAGAGGAAGAGAAAACATGATAGAGAGAGATCACCAAATTTAACCTTTTCTTCCCCAGGTATGAAGTGTAAGACGTGGCTCGGTGCCCAAGAGAAATATTCTAGAAGTACTTGTGTATGTTAATTTCTTTAAGGACTTCTTTAGATAATAACCACAAAGTAAAGGAGCCCCCAAATATATTTAATACATAAATGACTGATGCTAAATGGTGACAGTAAAACAATTTTAAAAGCACACCTGAACCAGAAATACATCCAAAGCAAGCACGGGGCTAGTTCCAGGAGTAATACTATACGGGTTAGCTGAGGTGGTGAGAGCCTTAGCCACCAATGATCCGACAGTTGCTTGCATGCCAAGTACAGCAGCACCCATTCCCAGAAGGTTCACCACTATTCCATTCTTCAAGCTTTTCACAACATCAGCACGAGGAGGAGCCTAAAACAAAAGCAGTCAGTACGAAGCTGAACAAATTGCCTTGGATTCAAATTCAAGGTCGAAATTGGAGGTGTATGAACAGGAGCTTGCATCGAATATTCCTACAGTAGCACAGAATGAAACCCTTTTTTTTTTCTAATTGTTGTAGTACAGAATGAAATCTTAATCATAATTCATAACAAGAGGTCCTCTTCGTGCTTAAACTAAACATAATGGGTTTTATAAATACGAGAACCATAAAGCTTGCAGGACGGCAGCTAGAAATGGGATTTAGTAAGTCACTTTCAACATCATCAAATCTTGATCCAGAAATTCCACTTTGATCCAGAGTCCAAAAGAAAAAAGGAAAAGGTAGGGGACAAAAACTTCTAGTGCCAACTCAAATAACCACAAAACTGGACATTATAAACTTAGAGGAAGTAATATCTACGAAAGCACCAAACATTTCAGAACAACTCCATGAAACGTCATGTTCATCAATATCCCAGTATATTTTGTGTATCTTTAAAGGGAAGTTCTGCACCAACTTCAAGGAATCAACGGGGAATTTAATGAAAAGCAGTTTCAAAAGCATAATTAGGAGTATGTGAATCATTAGTTTCTCATAGCACCTGACACTTCAAACATCATCTGGCTTACAAAATCTACATTTATTTCCGAAGCAGTTGGAAGGTTGAGGGAGCACTATTTGAGGTGAAATCCATGTAATAAATACACTTACTATCAGTGTTGTCAAAGGCGCGCTTAAGCCCTAAAGCGAGGCTCAAAACACGTTGAGCGCTTTGTCTCGCTTAGCGGGCGCTTCAGTGTCGTCATCATGGCTCTAAGGCATACTTTTTCTTACCAATGAGCGTAATCCTGAAGAGGCGACACTAAGCAATTGATATTTCGCTTTATCGTAATACTTACTCAATTTCTTTGTCCAAATATTTGTTATTCACTTATAATTATTAGTCTTAGACTACACATACATATTTGTATTTTTTTTCTCCATTTGTGCCTTTCTTATTTAAACCCACTCTTTATTTGCGCTTTGCGCTTAAAGCCCCAACAGACATTTTTTGTGCATTTCGCCTTTGATAACATTGCTTACTATTAATATAACACAGTTACAAGGCATTTGCATATATTAATAAATATCTATAACTTTTTCTTTTTGCATATCGATTTGGATGAAAGTACAACATACTGCAATTCAATTTACAAAGCAATTTGAGAAAGTGTGGGGCGTTACCTTTGAAGGATCATTAGCTGTCCGCCGAAGCTTTTCAGACAAGCGAATATAGCCGAATGACCAAAAAACTGAAACAAAAGCAGCTGCAATTCCACCCGCAGTTGAGTAGAATGTGAAGGGCGATGTAATCTTCCCCGTAATAACAACAGAAAACGAAAGGATCACCGCAGCAACAAGCGTACATACCAGCTGTCCCCAGAACCCCAAACTACCCAATCTCTTGAAGTACCTTGCAGTATTCTGTAGTCTTTTCGCAACCTAAATGTAAGAGCAAAAATCAAATCGATCAATCTCTTAACTCAAAGACACAAATACATAACTACGCCTCAATCGCAAACTAGACTATATGAATCCTCAATGTCCTTTTCACTCCATTTGGAGTAGTTTCAAATCAATACTCAATAATTTGACTTTTAAAGGGGTATTAACATTTTCTACTAACTCAAATTCACAATTCAGCGAAGTACAATGCATCCTGACTAGTTTGGAACATGTAAACAGCTCAAATATCCCAATTAAGAACCTAAACATATTCTTTCAGAACCTACAAAATATCCAACTAAAGCTATCTTCAAGAACGCGCAACAAAGTTGAACTCTCATTAGCTACCTAAATCAATAGATGACCAACTTAGCATTTTGACAAATCCTTTCAGTGTTTTACACACTAAAACAAAACCCTAAAGCAGCAATTAAAGCATAAACTTTGACACTCCAGAAAAACCCAATTCAGAATTCATAACTAAGCAATCCGAAAAAAAAAACTTAAAGGCGCAATCTTTAACATTTGCTACAGATTACAAAATGCTATAAAAAAAAAAGAAAAAGAACTGGAGTTACTGCAGAATAGGAAAGTACCAGAGCTAATTTAGCTTTTTCAGACTCGTCATTTGGAGAAGTGTAGGGTGCAGAAACGGGAGCAGAAGCTAAGATTCTGGTCCGTTTGTTTTTGAGACTAAATTGAGGCAAAGAAAGCGGCCTTGTCTTTAAGGGGGAAAAAGATAATGATGAGGACGACGAAGAAATTAGGGTATTTGGGCGTCCGAATAAACTATACCGACATGATTTTCCGGCCGATGGAAGTGCTAATGGTGCACTGCCGGCGTGAGCCGCCGGCAAGAGTAGAGTTTGCATAGCTAGTTTTTGTTCAAGATGCAGTAGCTTACACAGCGCAATGTCTAAGCAGGTCCAATACTGATTTTCATCTTCCTTTATTTTATTCTTTTCTCTTTTTCCCCTTTTTAAAGTGAATTAAAGGGACCTATAGGGAATTTTCTTTAAGTTTCATGAAAACTGGAGGAAAAAAAAAGGAAGAAAAGATTAGGAAAAAATATATTGAAGTAAAGTATATTTTAATTCTTTTAAAAGTCAAACTTTATATTATTATAAATTAATAACGGTTGGAAAATTCGATTTTATATTCAATGAAAAATATTGTTTTTAGTTATATGATCTTTTTCACAAGAAATTAAGACACCTATAAATAAATACAAGAAATCTTCTATTCAAATTGTAAGGTGACATTCTTAATCCTAAAGAATTTAATTTTTTCTTAAGAAGGAAAGAGGAAAAATATTTCGTTTAATCTGATAGTTTACTGAAATTTAGTAATAATGGTCAGTATTTTCTTGTATAGAGTGTAATTCTACTGAATTAATTTACATAATGAAAAGCTTTTATTCTCATTTATCTATATTTTCTTTTTGTTACATAGAAACAGTAAACTAGATTTACTTATCCTAAAGAGAGAAATGATACTCCTAAGAAAAAGGCAACGCACAAAAGGTATGGTTGCAGTTCTACAGTAGGCTTCAGTAAAATCACGGGAATTTTACCGGGATGTATCAAAAAAAGATGCTATTTACCAATAACTAGTTATTTTAGTCAAAAATAACCAAAAACAATTATCAATGATATACAACGTTTAAAAACATCCGTAATTTTTTTTCCCAATGGGTATTATTGTGATTCGTCAAAACACACATATGAGGCAATATGCAAATTAAAGGAATTTTGAAGGTGAGTTAAACTAATTTGGAGTTAAAATTCATTACAAATCATATACAAAAAATAGGCAAAAAAGGATTTTTATCCATGGGTATGATTGGATTAGTTGAAAGCATAATTATGATGCAATATACAAATTTTGGGAAAGATTTGAGGTAGTCTGGACTAGTTTGGTATCAATATTCGTAGTTAAAATCGAGTTTGAAAAATTCTTCTGCGACTCATGTATCACATATATATCACGCATGTATCTCATACACATGTATATATATACATGTGATATAAATTTGATACACATATAATACATATGTGATACAATAAATGATACACAGTGTGATACATATATCATACTTTTCCATGTTCATCTTCTATTTCGAATTTTCAATTCAAACTACGTTAAACTCCACCAAATCATCCCAAAATTGAGGTTTAAACTCTTTAAGATGTACTCAATCTATTCCAACAACGGCCACTCAAAAGAAAGTAAAAATTTGACCTTTTTTGGCTGCAAATAGCTAATTGGTAAATATTGTTAGCATTTGGCTAATATTAATAATAGCTTATGAATTGGCTAATTTCGTACTAATTTATTTATGGGCGGACATAACCGCTAATTTTAGTAATTTCCAAGCTCCTAAATGGGCCCAAAAGTCTGCAAAGGCTTCAGCAAAATCATTGAGAAGAATATGGGGTTATATGGTAAAAGCACGACCATGGGTGAAGTGTGAGCCCGTCAGCGAATAATGTACAAGAGTGGAAGTGCAAATTGCCAGAGAAATCTTTGAAAATATTCCAACTTAAACCAGCTCAAGTTAATTTTAAACCAATATCTTTACCATTTTCATTTGGCAGTATCTTGTTGTATTTTAGATTTTGTTATATTTTTCCCAAATATTCTCTATTTGTTTTTGGTATGATTGCTTCCAACTTCCAAGTGTGTAATTCCTCTCCTAGAAATTGCATTAAGTCAAAAGACAACATATACACTACGGTTGGTTCATCAAGAACATTTAAAAAATAAAAAAGAGAGACACTGAGGAAGTTTAAATATACTTCCAAATCATTCTAATTTGCCTCTCTGTATCGTTCCAATTTACGATGTTCCAAAAGGATCACTGATGATCATCCTTTACCTTGGCTAAATACCGACATCAATAAGACAATAGAAAAATGAAAATATATGATTTTATATTTTGAAGGGTCAAATTATTTCATCCGAAACTTCACCAATACCAATTTTTTTCTTCATCACTTCACGAATACCATTCAAAAAGTGAATTTGGTTCAACTTTAATCTTCATTTTCTTTTAGATTATGGTTGAATTCAACTTCAAAAATGATTGTTTTATGTACTGACTCATTATTCAGCAGCATTTCTTGGATAGATAACTTGAAAGAATTCCAATGCTTCACTAAATTACATAAGAATAACGTCTATCAAACCAAAGTAAACAGTGAAAATTGCCGAGTATACATGCCAAGCAGAATGCTACCCTAACAAAGTCTAATATAATTTAAGGTAATTAAACATAGACTTTGAAGAAGAAAAAAAACACATTAATAAAAGTAACAGGAACTCGTAGTTATTCTAGTGTTTTTGTTGGTTAAGTGTTGATAGTGACCAATATAAAATAAGACAAACTTTTTTCCTGAGATATAATATGAATGCAACCCACCATCCAGAAGAGCTATAAAGTCAATTTACAACGTATAAATAATAAAATCAATGATAAATACAAAGTTGCATACACCAAAGGATGTGGGGCAATAGATGAGACTATTCTTCTCTTAACTAGAGGTAAAATACTTGATATAGATTTTAGTTTCTATGCATTGTCCGTGACATTTTTTTTTTTAATGTTTTAGATCATCTAAAAAATAACTACAAATAACCATACATAACATTAGCCACTAAAAAATTAAGAAAAATAACTTATTATAACAGATTAAAATACATTAATAATGTAAACATTAGTTATATAGTCAGTACATATAAAACACCAGTGGCGCTTATATCAACCAAATACCAAAAATAGTGAAAGACGAGTAGAAGAATAGATACAGTCAGATTTCTCTATAACAACATTTCTATATAACTGTCATTCATTATAAAAGCCAAGTTTTCCTTAGAACCGATTTTTAAATTTTTACTTTTATTTCTCTATAACATCTTTCTACCTATAAGAGCAACAACCATATTTATAGCAGAATGTTCTTTGTAAACTCACCCCTCTATAATAACCATACGATATCTTTAAGATTACTACTAATAATTCAAAAAATATGCACACAATCTTTTCCATTAAACAAAGTTTCTATCTTGTATAATATATAAGATTTAAAGATTTGCACATGGTATCTTTTTCATTTCAAAAAATCTTTAGATAGAAATTTAATTGTTAAACTCTTAGATTGTCTTCAAGGGAAAGCTATGGGTTACCTTTTTGCTGAAAATTTGGACACGAACCTTCGCCAATTCAAGCATTATATTATTAAGAAAATGAAACTACGAAACAAGCTACAATTACAAAGTTCTTCCATCAATTTTCAAAGAGTTTATTTTTCTAGTTAGCTTTAAAATGTCTGCCCTAGATTTAAATTATGTATAAGTTTAGTTATAAATTTATTAATAATGTATTAGCTTTCTTCAATATTTAACTAGTGAAATATGCATATCTTTTGAGATTTAAAATTTGAATATTTTTTGTATGTTTTATATGTAAAATTAAAAAAGGAAAAATAATTGATTTTTGGGTACTTTTTATCTATAACAACCAAAAAATATTTAAACGTCAAATGTTGTTATAGGTGTATAACAGCCATTCACTATAAAAGTCAAAAAAATTCGAAACAAACAAGGCTGTTATAGAAATGGTTGACTGTATTTGGTTTTACATACTGAAAGGTTCAAAATTAATTAATCCTAACTAGACGAAGACTCAAAACGTCAAATATGTTCAAATTTGATGTTCAATCTCTTTTTGGTTTCTAGTGGAATTCAACTTCAAAATGATTTGTTTAATATACTGGAACAAGCTCTTATTCAGCAACCTTTCTTGGATTGATAACTTGAAAGAATTTCAATGCTTCACTAAATTACATAAGAATAACGTCTATCAAACCAAGTAAACTGTGAAATTGGCCGAGTATGCCAAACACAAATGTAACCATAAACAAAGTTGGTAATTTAAGCTAAGCATAGCTTTTGAAGAAAAAGAAATTATTAAAAATATTATCGAGGACCATGTAGTTTAGTGTTTTTGTTGGTTAAGGAATTGGTGGTAGTGGTCAATATAAGAAATAAGACAATTTTTTTTAAAGTAGATTAGCCATTAGTCACTTGTTTTATTAGCCTATGTTTGAAATTCAAATGGTTTTATAGTAATTAGATGCCATATTTTGACAAACTTTTTGAAGTAGATTAGCCATTTGTCACTTGTTTTATTGACCTACGTTTGAAATTCAAATGGTTTAGTAGTAATATAATATAAATGCTATATGGTTTAAGATTGGATTTTTGTTGTTTTGGTATGATCAAAGTAGAGTAGTTGAGTATCAACACCAGAACCAATATTAGCTGTTGACGATAAATGTTATTATCGAATAATCATTTGATATCTAAAATTTACTGACTTGATTAATTTTCTATCAGTAAACAGGAATTTTTTTCATTGGCTCAACTAGGGGTGTTCAAAATCGAACCGAAACCGTAAATCGAACCGAAACCGAAGCTTAATGGCTTATTGGTATCGGGTTAACGGTTTAACGGGCGGGAAATGGATTGAAATTTTTTTATTAACGGCTTATCGGTTTGGGGGCGGATTATTCAATTTTCTTAACGGATAATCCGTTAACCCGTTAAGAATATATATATACATATAAAATTTATTTTTGTCCATGTATATATTAAATAATCAAAAACCCTTCTTCCTCCAATACTCTATCAAAGTGAATTAGAATAAAAGGAAGCCAAATAAAAGGAGTCATCTAACTGTGACAAAAGACAGAATTTGCTGTCTGAAACAAGATAACAATACCAGTTACACCACTGCTTCATCAACTTTGCCTGGGTTTTAAGTCATCCTAGAATTCAAAGCATGACGAACATTTGTTTTAACAACGGCCAATTGGAAATCTTTCACATGGACTAAGGCCAATATGCATAAACATAAATAAGATTCTAGACAGATGATTTACCCATCACGATGTCTCTTCT